TGGACATCTGTCTGTCGCTCTCAGGGGTGGTGGCTGATTTCTACCCGTGTCTGTTTACATCACAGGTCCAAAATACAGAGGAAAGAGAGTCTTAGGAACCTGTTTCTCTTTTGCCTTGGGGAAGAATAATTAACCCCTATGCTGGTGCCCACTATAGTGACTCTCCCTTCTCTTTATAACTTCTTTTTTTAATTGTTCAAAGAGATACCTTTGAACTCCAGTTTTCCAGTGTCTTCGTACTAAATACCTCTTAAATACCTCTTCGAACTAAAATCCCATTTTTTGGTACAAAAATAAAAACTGTGTGTACAGGAGCTAAAAAAAATGAACAAAACCCTGAGAAAAATTAATTACAGAGGTCCAAAAACTTATGAATACCTTAAATATTGAGAAATAAATTATTGAGAACAAGTAACATATAACTATTGGAAGGTTTTAGTAAATCTGCATGTATTATAATCCTCAGAATATACTGAAAACATATAATTAAAAAAATACCCAGCTTGAGCAATATAGTGAGACCCCATCTCTACTAAAAAAAGAAAAGAAATAGAAGAACTAGCTTGACATTGTGATGTGCTCCTATGGTCCCAGCTACTCAGGATGCTGAGGCCAGAGGATGGCTTACACCCTAGAGTTTGAAGTTGCTGTGAGCTATGATGCCACGGTGTCACAGTAAACGTTTGTCTAAAAAGTAAAAAAAAAAAAATAAAAAACTCTTAGCCACAGTGTCACATGCATTTTAATCTCCTGAAAACTCTCAGCTCATCAACTATTAATATATTGCCCTCAACTTTGGGAACAAATAAACAGGAAAGTAAAAAGACGGACTGGTGATGAAAGGAGGAAGGCACATTATTTTTTGAATTGGCATATAGGAAACTGGACACTGAAAACTAACAACAGATACTAACTACAAATATAAAAACATGAGCAGGTCCTTCAGTGGAGGGGAACCACCCTTCTCTTCCCATGTAATTCTAGAGGCATTGTTAAGCTGAAGCCCATTTACTTTCATACTAATGACGCTGAGATGTCAAGAAAAATATAAAACGAGTATGAAATTAAACCTTGATAAACTTTCTTTCAAGTGCTAAGATTAAAGATCTGGTAGGGATATAAAGGAATAAAAACACACTAGCTGGGAGGGAAGTGATAGGAAATGCCCAATTTCTCAATGAAGTCATTCAAATGAAGATTCTCTGCCAATATTAAAGGAATGGCAAATGTGAAATTCTTCCCCTCCTCTCTATACACAAGCTTTGAATCCTCTCTCTAATAATTTATAGCTGGGTGACACTGAGAAGACACCTAATCTCTCTGAGCCTCTGTTGTCTGTTAGAATCCAAAAAAGCAACATTATACCTATTTATCAAGAGTATAGCATTAATAGCTTAATTTAAAAAACCCCGGGGTTTTTCATTAAGCTGTACAGTTTGAAATATTTTTCTAATATTATTTTAACATTTATTCTTTTTTATTCAGCTTAGGATTTTAAACATACTTGAGAATATAAAACCTTTTTTATCCTTAGGGGGGAAATTGCCCTTACTCTACAGAATTCCTCGACGATAATATTTAAATTTGCCTGTAAGATATACACAAGTGTATATTCTAAAAGAAATACTACTTTATGGCACATACAAATATATGAAAACTACAATGGCAAACTACAAATGAGGTCAACAAAACAGTCACAACAAAATCCTTACTTTTATAACCTTTTGCTTTTGGTAAGGACAAACAGCGTAAAACTCCCAGCCTGAGTTGGCAAAATCTCCACTTTCACCCTTAACAGTGGCTACCAGGTGTTCTATCAGCGTGGAGGAACAGAGTCAATACTTCTGCAGTATAGGATAACCTGCTATAAATAAATGTGAGGCAATATTTTATGTCTTTCATCTTGGCAGGTTGTTTTTACAACTTTGTAAGCTAAAAGATATGGACCTCTGTAGATAAATGCTGCTTGGGACTGAATAGCTTCACTCGTTCATCAGACATTTGATGCTAGCAAACTACAGCAGAAAATTCAGAGGAGTATTATCAATTCACAGCAACCGTGGATGAGTGGCTGGGGATTAGGGAGCATTCATTTTAGGCTGCTGTTATCTTTGCCTTGTCAGAACAGAACTCTGCAATGCTTGACTGCCTCTCAGTGTTAAATGGGATGGTAAAACCTGGTGATGATGACTACTTTAAGAGGATATAAATAATATCTAACATTTGTGTAGCACAATATGATTTTAAAAGCGCTTGCACATTCATTCTCCCGTTTCACCCTCACAACAATTTTATGAGATAGGTAATAATCTTTTCCTGTTTTTATTCTAAAAAAAAAAAATGGCAAACTAAAGCTCTGGGACTGTAAGGGACTTGACAAAATAAATGATGTCTAAAACTGGGAAATGAAGTTCAACATACTTTCTAAATTTGAATTGAATTAAAGCTGTGAATATACTGATTGTGTGACCTTGAACAACTGATTGAATGTGAAGCATTTTTCTTGTGGTTCAATTGGGAAAATATTATGCTCCACAAGATGGTGGTTCGTGTCAGATAAGGTAGATTCAACAGTCTCAGGATGCGTGGCACGGGATATGTGGTCATCACTTAAATTTCCTTTCTGTATGTCCAAATTTCATGTTTTTCCCAATTTACATGTCAGCCTCCTTGTAGAGTAAGCTCCTACTATAATTTACATGAATGATGAAAACCCATGTAATTTAGTGAGAAGCAAGTTAGACTAAGTGCCCAGATTTTAGATTTGCTTTTTTTTTTTTTTTTTTTTTT